CTCTGTTAGAAATTACAACTCAATATTATTATGAAAATAGTTTTCACCTCAAGGATCCCGCTGGGGTCCCTGGACTATACTTTGGGTGATAGTCTAACACTCTCCTCTTTTAAAGTAAGGGACTAACGCCCAAAAAAGGAAAGTGACTTAACCAAGGTCACACGGTGGAAAAACTGGGACTCACACTGAAGTCTTGGGCACCCCAAATCCTTCACCTTCTCAGTTCCTCCCACTTCCAGGTGAATGCTAAGTCACTTGGTAGTTGTCCATAACACCAAGCCTGTATATTCATCTCATACAGTCCTCTACTTCAGGGCCTAGTTATGCTAGCTTTCTGAGACTCGAGCAAACCACTCATAAAAGCCAAGAAGAGTTGAATTTCTTTGTTTTTTGCTTCAGGGTCCCCTCACAAAGGGCAAGGGGAGGATTTGTTCTGCAGTAAGGGTAATAGTATTGTACAGTGGAAAGCGCAAAGACCTGAGTTCAAATCCTGGTTGTGCAACTCTGAGTGACCTTGGGCAGATCATTTGCTCTTGAGCTGGTCCCTGAGTATTCAGGGTAAGAAGGAGTAAGGCCTTAGGAGGAGAGGAACCAACTGGTTTTCAGAGTTGCCACAGGAATGGTATCTCTCACCTGATGCCAAAAGAAAGAAGACTTTGGAGACAACAGAGGAACTGATGGTTGGGTAGTTGGGTGAAAGGAAAGAGGCTAGTGGAGGATTCTCTTGGTTCATTTGCAATGACATATTCAATAAGAGCCACCACTTGTGAGGAAAGAATGATTTTTTTCAGGGGTACTCCTTTGTTAAACCAGATAACTAGGTGGCACAGTGGGTATAAGCATAGGATTTGGAGTCAGGAAGATGAGTTCCAATCTAGCCTCAGACACTTACTAGCTGTGTGACCCTGAGCAAGTCACTTAACCATTTGCCTCAGTTTCCTCATTTGTAAAATGAGCTGGAGAAGGAATGGCAAACCACTCCAGGATCTTTGCCAAGAAAACCCCAAATGGAGTCATGAAGAGTCGGACGCAACTAATGACCAAAAAGAAAAAAGTGATCCTGAGCAAGTCACTTAACCTCTGTCTGACTTAGTTTCCTCCTCTGTAAAATTGGGGTACCTCACAGGTTGTTGTGGGGATATAATGAGATAATATTTATGAAGTGTTTTGTAACCTTAAGGTACTATATAAATGCTAGTTATTAACATCATCGTTATCTCTAAGTTCCCGCCCAACTCTGACATTCCCTGTTCTAAGACCCCTCCCGCCTCTCGCATTCACAGAATCACACAATATCAGAGTTCTAGGGGATCTCAAGGGTCCAATCCATATCTGAAGAGTATCCCCCTCTACAACATCTGGCAAGTGCTTGCTTTTCTTGAAAACCTTTCTCTAGAGACATCTCTGTAGACAGGAAAAGAGGAAGGAAATAATGGTTTACACAGTGCCTACTGCATCCCAGGCACTAGGACAAAAGCTTTACAAACCTGGATAATTAATTGTTAGGACGTTTTCTTTGGCATCAAGAAGAAGTTTGTTTCTTGATCACTTCCTCCTCCCTCATCACACTTAGTTCTGCCCTCTGTGGCCGAGCAGATAAAGTCTAATGCCCCCCCCCAACTCGACACCCCTGCGGTTCTTTAGACATGGGCTCTCGTAACACCCCTGCCACTTCTCTTCTCCAAGCTAGAAATCCGTTGTTCCTTCTGCCGCTCCTCTGATGGCATGATCTGAAGATGCTCGGCCATTTCCATCCCCCCTCCTCTGCACCCTCTCCAATGTGTCAATCTCCTTCCTAAATGGTGGTACCACCACACCATACTCCTGACTGTTACAGACTGTGGGCTGGCCAGGGCAGAGAGCAGCCATCTGCCTCTGAATGCACATTAATTTTTATGGCTGCCATGTTAAAGTGCTGATTCATATTGAACCGCCAGTTTATTTTTCAAAATGGGGAGGGGTGATAGAAAGAAGTCTGGTATTTTGGAAAGAGTACTGGACTGGAAGTTTTGAAAGACCCAGGTTTGAACCAAACCTCTCGCACAAATTAGTTGTTTGGTCACAGGCAAGTAAACCACTTAGTCTCTCTGAATCTCAGTCTTATCATCTACAGAATGGGAATAATAACAACTATAGTTTTGACTTTACAGGTTGTAAGAATTACATGAGATTTTCAAACCTTTAAAAAGCTGTACACATAATTTTTTGTTTTTGTTTTTGTTTTTTTTTTTGGCTAGGTAATGGGGTTAAGTGACTTGCCCAGGGTCACGGTTAGTAAGCATCAAGTATCTGAGGCCAGATTTGAACTCAGGTCCTCCTGACTTCAGGGCTGGTGCTCTATCCACTGTGCCACCTAGCTGCCCCATATACATAATTTTTCAGTAGTTTTTCAGTCAAGTCTGACTCTTCATAACCCCATTTGGGATTTTCTTGGCAAAAATACTAGAGTGTTTTGCCATTTCCTTCTCCAGTTCATTTTATAGGTGAGGAAACTGAGGCAACTAGGGTTACATGACTTGCCCAAGGTCATACAGCTAGTCAGTGTCTGAGGATGGATGTGAACTCAGGTCTTCCTGACTCCAGACCCAGCACTTTATCTGCTGAGCCACCTAGCTGCTTCCTACATACATAACAGCAAGCATTTATTTATGGATTTAAAGTTTTCCAAGCACTTTACAAATATTTTCTCATTTTATCCTTACAATAACCCTGTGAGATAGGTGCTATTATTATCTCCTTTTTTACAGATGAAGGCACTGAGGCATAGAGGGGTTAGTGACTTGCCCAAGGTCACAAGACTAGCCTCTGAGGCTGAATTTGAACTGGTCTACTTGACTCCAGACTCAGCACAGCCATCTAGTGGCCATGTCAAGTATTACTAAAGATTCCCAGTATGATGATGGTGATATTAACTAGCCATGCTTTCCACCTTCTGCTTGTGAAGTTAACTTTCTGAGAGCTAGTGTAGGATTTTACACTTCTTCTGTTGTGAGGCAATCAGGGTTAAGTGACTTGCCCAGGGTCACACAGCTAGTAAGTGTGATTTGAACTCAGGTCCTTCTGACTCCAGGTCTGATGTTCTATCCACTGTGCCACCTAGCTGCCCCTGACTTTACACTTCTGATTGTTGAATTTTATACTATTAGATTCAGCCCAGATCTTTGTAGATCCTGACTCTGTCATCCAGCACATTAACCATCCTTCCAAGTATTGCAGTATCTGCAAATTTGATAGACATACCCTTCAGTCAAATTCAACAAGCATTTAAGTGCCTATGGTGTGCCTGGCATTTGGCATGACATCTATGCCTTTATTCAAGCCATTGATAAAAATGTTACATTGTACTCTGTCAAGAACAGATCCCTGAGATGTCCACTAGAGACCTCTCCCAAGCTGACATCAAGCCTTTAATGAAGGATCCCAGTCATGAACAGATTTTGGGTGAAGGCCTTTAAACAAAAGGCTCTGACACCACTTTATTTCCATTATGTAGCCCACATCTCTCCACCTTCTTTAGAACTGTTGCTAAGGCGTTCTAGCAGAGTGGCAACTAAGGGGAACATTTAAGTATGAAAAACAAACAGGCATATGTCCAAAAAATGAGATGACCTTGTATGATCTGGTCTTTGATGTGATGTAGCCCCTATTAGCTCTAACATTGCATGAGTCTGTGAGTATAATAGTCCTGTGAGGGTTGCCAGTGGGCAGATGTTATTATCCCCATTTTGTGGATAGGGAAACTGAGGGATGGAGATATTTGCCTACTGATGATCCCAATTAGTGGGTGCAGGCCCAGTCGGCTGCCTCAGAGCCTAGCGTTCTCTCCTTTAGATCCTGCTGCCTCTGGCGGTGCCACTCCTTCTATAAGAAAGCCTGCTCCCCTCTGAGCTAGTCAAGGAAGCACTTATAAAGCAAAATACTCATTAAGACAAAGTGGAATGATGTGATCTGTCCAGGACCTGAGGTCCCTGGTCCCTAGACTAGGGGAGACAGAACAGAGCCGAGCAGCTGCCTTCTCAAAGACATCCTTTCCCTCCCTGCTTTCACACCTCTCCTCCTTCCCCACAGGGCCATCTTTCATCTTTGTTCTTATGGATTTTGTCTCTCTCTTTCACTCTCTGTCTCCGTTTCTCTCTGTGTGTCTGTATCTTTGTCTCTCTGTCTATGTCTTTCCATCTCCCTCTGTCTCTGTCTCTTTGTCTATCTGTGTTTCTGTCTCCCTCTCTACTTTTGTCTATGTGTCTCTGTCATTTCCCTCTGTCTCTCTCTCTGTTTTCCCATTTTTATTGGTTTCTCTCATTCTGTGACACCTCTTCTCCATTTCTCTGTCTCTCCCTCTTTCTCTGTTCTTGTGTGTCCCCTTTTTGTACACCTCTGTGTCTCCCTTGCACTCTATTTCTCTCTGTCTCTATCTTTCTCTGTTTCTTGTTCATCATTTCAGTCATGTCTGACTCTTTGTGATCCCATCTGGGGTTTTCTTGGCAAAGATACTGGAGTGGTTTACCATTTCCTTTTCCAGCTCATTTTACAGATAAGGAAACTGAGGCATGGTGGAAGGGGTACTCAAGTGACTTCCTAAGGACACCCATGTAGTGAGTGAAAGATGTGGAATTTGAATACAAGTCCACATACTCCAAAGCTCAGCTTTCTCATGCATTGAAGAAGAAACACACTCAGAAAGGAGAAGTGTTAGAACCTGCACTAATTATCGGGTCTTCTTCTCTTGCCCAATCACTCTTCCCGCCCATCATGGTTCTTTAAGGAGGTTCTGGTTTCCACGAATGTGTCTGTTGTCCCCTCCAGACTGCTTCCCTGCCCCACCAGCCACCTGCCCCCCAGGCCCCAGCTTCCCCTTTCATTTCTCAGAAGCCTCCCTATTTTTGCTGAGTTTGTCTGTTTCTCTGGTGGAACCCCACCGGGGTTTATTGGTCAGGAAAGGGGAAGTGGGGAGGGATGTGAAAGTTGGCACCCCTTTCTAAAGGAAGAATAAGGTCATTTCCCTTCAGGCCCTTAGTGACTCCCCTTTCTTGAGGGCGCAGACGGCTTAGAGCCAGGCGGTCAGTGGAAGCGTCTTACCCAAGCCCAGCACTCCCAGGGCAGGTAAGACCTGAGAGTTCAGCCCCATCTTAAGGGAGCTGGGCCTTGAGGCTGGGACCCAAGTTCATGTCCAGTGAACTGGGTCTGGGGCTGAGGCTGAGGCTGAGGCTGCAAAATCATTTCCAGGGTCAGGATGCTCCCAAACGTTGCCTCAGAAATATCTGGGAACTAGTCTCATGGTTAAGGGATAGGAAGAATGACCAAGGAATGAGAGGGCTGGAGAGGTGGAGCTGAGGGTGGGGGTGATGATGTGGGCTCAGGGTGGGGGAGATGATAGACCTGAATGACAATTGGGGGTGGGGGAAGGGAATTGAGGAATCTGGGCATAAAAGGAATGGAGATGAGGGGAACTGCTAATATGGGAGATGGACCTTGGGGAGAATGGGGTAGGAGGGGGATGGAATTTAAAGGGGAAAGGGGGAGAAAAAACCAGGCCTCAGGATGTTGGAATACAGGTAGAGGGTCCCACACGCTCAATGCTCACTCCTCTCCCTTGTCCCATTCTCTGACAGCCCTCCCTCCCAGCAGAGCACCAAGCCCACGCCCGCCTTTGTCTCTCAACCCCATCTCTCATTCCTGCCCTCCAGAGCAACTCCAGGGGTCCCTCTGCTAGGTATGGCCCAAGGAAAGGGATGGGGAAGGGCTGCTGCCTCCTGGCACCACAGGCCTCCTCAGAGACAGGTGTCTGGCTATGATCTTTTCTGGGGCTGGCCCAGCTGAGATGGGCCTGAATAGGGCAGGCTCTTGTGGGCAGGAGGATGAGACAAAGGGATTAATGGGGCACCTGCCTCTGACCCCCTCCCGGTGCGGCCTTTTTCCCCACAGGCAGCATGGCCTCGTGGGCCTGGCTGGCAGCCTGTGTGCTGGCCCTGTGCCTGGGCTCCACCTTGCCACAGGATGTGTGCAGAGCTCCTGATGGGAAGCCGGGGCAGCCTGGAGCCCCAGGTCTGAATGGGCGCCCAGGACCTAAGGGGGATCATGGTGAGCAAGGTAAGCGCAGCCTCCAGGACAAATGCCCTCCTCCCCACTCTAGGCAACCCAGCTCCGAAGGCCAGGGTGAGCACAGGGCAGAGGGTGGGGAGAGGGTGGTGAGCTGAGAGATTCTTCAGCAAGTTGTAGTGACAGATGGAAATCCCAGCTTTGCCGCTGGCCCGCTAAGTGACTTTGGGCAAGTCTTGTTTACACGTCTGGGCTTCGGTTTTTCTCCCCCTCTCCATCCCCCTCCCCCCATTTAAAAAGTAATGAAGTAAATGGGTTGTGTAATCTTCATGGTCACTTCTTCTAGATCTAAGTTCTATAATTCCCTAAACTCCAAGGCAGAAAGGGTCAATGAACAGAGGCTTGGGATAATTCAGTACTAAATTTATAGCTCCCCAGCATTACCAAGCCCAACCAGCCTGAGCTCTGTCCTTCAGGGCATGAGAGGAAAGAAAAGGATCTTAGGGAAATGGGAAGAATCCATTTAGAGCCGATGGAACATCTTAGGCCATTAAGTTCAACCCCTCCATTTTGTGGATAAGGGAACTAAGGCCAGAGAGGGGAAGTGACTTGGCCAAGGTCACACAAGGAGTAAGAGGCGGCAATGGGGTTCCAATTCAGCTTTTCTGTTCCCAAATCCAGTGCTCATTCAACAGCACCAGAATAGGGGAAAACAAAACAAAGTGGGGCAATTTGTCTGTGTTCTGTGGATTCCGAGGATCCACCCCACCTCCCAGACAGACAGAGGCCGGTGTGCCCCTTCCCCAACTGAGCAAACCAGTCCAGACAGATCCTGCTCTTTTTTTTTTTACCTCTGGGACTCTGTGCTCCAAGAGCCCTCCCATCTCTGACATCCTCTGTTCTAAGGCCCCTTCTAGGCCTGCTTCTCTATATTCGTGCATTCTGTCTTCTAATGCTTGCAGGTCTTTACCTGGGTGCTCAGCTTTACCCACATGTGGCCCATGTCCCATCCTAGGGTACTGCCCTCAAGGTCCCTCCAACGTTGCTCCAGCTAAGCTGGAGTCTCTGGTGCTCAGACCACGGGCTCCCAGAGAAACTCGCACTCAGTCACCGAAATCTCTTTCACAACAGGGATGCCAGGAGCAAAGACAGGAATTCGGGGTCTCAAGGGGGATGAGGGTGAACCTGGTCCCCCTGGAAAGCCAGGGAATAGAGGCTTTGGAGGTCCGGCTGGCCCCCAAGGACCCCCAGGACTGCCTGGAAAAAGCGGTCCCAAGGGAGAGATGGGAAGAGTTCAAAACCAGCTCCAGCCAGCCTTCTCAGCAGTCCGGAAGAACCCACGACAGGATGGCAACGTGGTCATATTTGACCACATCATCACCAACCAGGAAGACCGCTATCAAAGCAACACTGGCAAGTTTATCTGTAATTTCGCCGGCTACTACTACTTTACCTTCCACGTGGTGTCCACTGGGGACCTTTGTCTCTTCATCACGACCTCCAAAGGAGGCCAGACCAGACGCTCCTTGGGCTTCTGCGACAGCAACAGTAAGGGACTTTATCAGGTCAACTCTGGTGGCACAGTGCTGAAACTGGCAGAGAGTGACCAGGTGTGGATTGAAACAGACCCTCACCGGGGCAACAAAATCTACAATGGTAAAGATATTGATAGCGTCTTCAGCGGCTTCCTACTTTTCCCCTCCAACTGAATTTGAGGCCGTAGGGTAGAGAAGCTTGGAATGTCCAGCAAAGGCCAGTCTTTCAGCTTCTGTCCCTCTAATCCTTGCCATCCACACAGGACCATAGCTCTGGGGCTGGAAGGGACCTCAGGGGTCATCACGTCCAATGCCTTGATTTCACAGATGAGGATACAGGCTGTCAGAGAGTTACAGTGACATAGCCAGGGTTACAAAGCAAATGTCTGAAGCAGGATGCTAACCCAGTGCTACCACGTGATGCCTGCCTCTTGGGCAAGCCATTTAAAAACAATAACATCTATTTCTTTTAGTACCTTAGGAACTTTCCAAAGCATCGTCTTCGCAAAACACCTTGGGACTGGGAGAGAAGGGTCATTATCCTCATTTGTCAGGTGGGGAAACTGAGACTAGGAGCTGAAAGACAACTTGTCCGGAGCCACACGGTCCATGTCAGAGGTAGTGCTTGCACTGTCCCGCGTGGCCTCCCCATGTAACCACACTTCTCTTGCCCTCTCTGTATAACGTAAGAAGGATCCTTTGACTGCTCGAGGGTGGAGGGCATGGACCAGGTGATTGGTCTCTTGAGGCCCTTTCCAGCTCCAGCATCCAGAATGCTCTGTCTCCCTGTCCTTGAGCCCCCAATCCCACAGTAGCTCCCTTCTGCCCCAACCCCGGGGCCATCAACGCAGCATTTACCAGAGCAAGAGGATGAGTATTCCATCTTTGCCAAAGCCTGTGTGCCCCTCTGCTTGGCTCTCCCGCTTCTGAAGAAGACCCTCTCCAGGCTTTGGCATCCCTGTGCTGACGGCTGTCCTCCCTCCTCTGTCTGGTCTCACTCATGGCCTTGACTTTGCCTCTATGCTCTGCAGCCCTGGGCCCATCCGGTCACTCCTTCCAAGCCACCTCTGCCCATCCCTACTCCCCCAGTGTTGAGGGGGACAGTGATCCCTTTGCATCCTCAGCACAGCCTATAACCGCCTGTACCGAGGTCTTAATGAATAAACAAAGTGATTCAGTTCTTTCTGCCTTCTTCCTATTTTCTTTCAGGTATGACCTAGAGTGGAGATAGGGCAAGGATGAGGTGAGGATGGAGTGGAAAGTTTATAGGAGAATGGGGCTGAGAGAGGGTGGTCCTAGGGAAGACGGGGCTAGAAGGATGGGAAGGGGATACTGGAAATGTGGAAGTAGGAAAAAGAGAATGGGGGGGTGATAGGGCCCCAGGAAGAAATGGCTGAGAAAGGATGGTCTTGAGGGGAATGGAGTTGGAAGAATGGGCCTGGGGAGACATGAGGTTGGAAGACTCAGTATGTGGGCCCAGGAAAAGGGCAAAAGGGATAGGAATAATCGATTTTCTGAAGAGACGGAACTAGGAAGTTGAAGATGTAGGAATGGGTGTATAGGGTTAAGAAAATGGAGGGATGGGAAGGGGGACTGTAGATCAGGAGATGAAGGGTTGGGGATGGGGAAGTTGGGGAGGAAGATGGTGGGGATGGGAAAAGGAGCTGGGGGAATATTCTCAGGGAGGACAGAGGGGAAAGCCAACTGCTCCTTCTCTACTCTGGCCTCTCACCTCTTTTCCTCTCAGCTTTCCCTCACCCCTCACTCTTGGACCCTCACTAAGCCACCACTCCCTGTGTCTCTTGGCGCTAAATCCCCTCCTTCATCTCTGGATGAGACCCTCAGAAACATCTTCAAAGATTCCTCATTTCTCCCTCTATGTCCTGACACCAAACTGGAAGGAGAGGAGGGGTGGGAGGTGAGGGTGGGGGTGGGGGTGGGGAAGGTGTTGAGAAAGCTCGGAATGGGGAAAAACGTCCTGGGTGGCCCAAAGCTGGGGACTAATCACGTGCCCCACTCGGGACAAAGCCCTTCTTCGTGAGCCGCGGCCGCCACCTGCTGGCCAACGCTGGTCTGCACATGAAGGTCATTACCAGTTATTCACGCCCCCGTATCACAGTCATGAGTGATCGAAATTCTGGCTAGGATGGGCCCAGGCAGCCCAGGGGAAGCCACAGGGGCCAGCATCAGCTCAGGAGCAGCAGAGGTGCAGGACATCCCAGAATCACAAATGGGGGGAAGAGAAGATGGGACCTTAGAACAGGGAATGTTAAAATTTAAAATGTTAGAGCTGGAAGGGACCATCGAGGTCATCTGCAGGTCTAATCCAATCACCCAACCCACAGAAAAGGAAAGTGACTTAACCAAGGTCACACAGATCTCTGTGGGTTCGAGTCTGTGAACTTTGCACTCCATCATAATAAGAATAATAAGACCAATAGAGCACTATTAAGGCTTGTAAAACACTTTACATATTTTGATCTTTACAACAACTCTATTAAATTCGTGCTATTTTTATCCCCGTTTTACAGATGAGGAAACTAAGGCTGAGAGAGGGTAAGTGACTCTCCCAGGGTCACACAGCTACAATGGATCTAAGGATTTGAAGTCAGGTCTACTTGATTCCTAGCTGACCCTGTCTCCCCACTGGCTTTGATCCATACTATACCCAAAGTGCAGCTACTCTCTTAGGCCTCTCCTGCTTAAGGCATGGATTCTGTGTTGTGTGTCCAGCCATGGGAATAGATCAGGGTGAGACCTTTCCAACCAAAGGTGTCTATTTGCTCCCTGACTTCAGGCATATCCCCACCACACTCCCACCTTGAATCTCTCTCCAATCCATGATAAATCCCAAGAGTTTTTCTGCTGCATGGATTAAGATGATGGAGGCTCCAATTAAGTGTTAGCTAGGAGGAAGAAACAACACAACATCTATGAAGCCATTATCAGTCATTAACACCTGAGCAAAGATGAGCTTATTGGACTTTCCAGTCTCCTCACAAGGCCATGAAAGATTAGGATGAAGGTAGGAAGGAAGCAAACCTAGGAGACCTGGGCTGGGGTCCTCTGCCCCTACGTCCTTGTGTGACATTGGGGTCATCATTTCCTTTCTCTGAGCCTCAGTTCCTCCTGTATAAAATGAGTAAGTTGAACCAGATGGCCTCTAAGGGCCCTCCCAGCTCTGACATTCTGTGTTCTAAGGGCCCTCCCAGGTCTGACATCCTGTGTTCTAAGGGCCCTTCTAGCACCAATATTCTGTAATCACCTAATTCCTCCTCTTTTGCAGGAAGCTCCCTGCCCTACCCCCTGACCCAGGTTCTTCCTAATCCCCAGCACTCTTCACACCCTGTCATACTCTCCCCCTCATCTGGATCAGTCCAGAGGTTCTGGGCCTAGGCCAGGAAAAAGGAGCTTCTCAGTAGCCTCTCTCCCTACTCCTTCAACCCCAATTTTATGCCCCTCCCCACCTTCACAAGACCTCCAACCTTCTTGTCTCCAGGCTGAAGTTTGTGGGTGAGTGAAAAAGGGGCTGCCCTCCCCCCCAGGAGAGCTGTCACTAACACCTTTAAACCAGTCCTCCCAGGCCGTGAGCCATGCTGAGGAGCAATGAAAAAGCCAGTTTGGGCCGAACACCAGATCTGAATTTGGGAGTGCCAAAACCAAAGCTTAAAATCAATCAACAAGCCTTAATTAAGTGTCTACTACGTGTCAAGCACTGTGCTCGGCCCTGCGGTTCCAAAGGCAAAAATGAAGCAAACATTCGATTACTGAGAATGAGACAGCCTGTACACTAATTCCAATCAGCTCATGGAGGGCCCTGAATGTCAAGCTCAGGAGCCTGGGCTTAACACTAGAGGCAATGAGAGCCATTGAAAGTGCTTGAGCAGAAAAGGGTCTTGTTAAGATTTAGGAAAATTAATCCTTCAGCCTGTCCAAAACGGGGAGAGGGGAAGGGTCGTGCAGGGACATGAGAGCTTTCTCTAACCCTCTAAGGTCACATTCATCCGTTTTGTTGTTGTTCAGTGACGTCTGACTCTTTGTGAACCCTTTTGGACTTTTCTCAGCAAAGATGCTGGAGTGGTTTGCTGTTGCCTTCTCCAGCTCATTTTACAGATGAGGAAACTGAGGCAAACAAGGCTAAGTGACTTGCCCAGGGTCACACAGCTAATAAGTGTCTGAGACCAGATTTGAACTGGAGTCTTCCTGACTCCAGGCCCATTATGCTACCTGGCTGCCCCAACTTTGAATATAGTACTTGTTACATGTTTTCTCCTTGGGGGCAGGAACTCTTTTTACTTTCTTAATACTAACTTAACACAGTGCCTAGTTACTGGAGTGCGGGACCTGTGGTCTGGAGGCCGCATGCAGCCCTCTAGTCCTCAAGTGTGTCCCTTTGACTGAATCCAAACTTCACAGAACAAATTTGCCAACGGCCACACTTGAGGACCTAGAGGGCCACATATGGCCTCAAGGCTGCAGGTTCCCCACCAGTACATAGTAAGCTTAATAAATGCTCACTGATTGATTGTTTTCTTCCCTCCCTTCCCAGCCCTTGAATTGATTCCATTCGAATCTGGCCTCAAAACGCTTCGTGTGTGTTTGTTGGGATGAATCTGTTATGTCAAAACACAATGATCAAGTTTGGGGTTTTTATAAATCAGCTTCCCAAGCTGGGGGCCTGTTGAGATCCCAAGGCTTCCGTATTCTTTGTCAGGCTCAGGGGTCCTGTTGTGGATACCCTTCTACCACCCCTCCCCCAAGGCCTCCTGGCCAGCCTGCCCGCCCTCCCTCCTCCCCTCCTCTCCTCTCCTCTCCCATCTTCCTTGGTAGCATCTCCCGTAACCTTTCTTCCTGCCCGTCCCCTACTCCCCAGCCATGGGTGGGCAATGATCTCTAACAACTTCCGAGGTCCTCTGTCAAAGAAGGAGATGAAGAGAGAAACCTCAGAGACTCCGGAACCATCCTGCTCTAGAAGGGGTTAGAGTAGGGCAGAAGACTCTGGGCCCCAGGGAGAGCCATCTTTTCCATTCCAGACTCTTCCCACCCTCCAAGGTCCAAGTTCTCCATTCACCTGCCTCCTATTTCTGTTCTGGGATGGGAAGGAATATGAAGGTATAAAGAATTATAAACCAAAAGATAAAAGGGGATCATGATACAGATATGGGGGAGAGGAACATTTTTTAAGCACCCCCTATATGCTAGGCACCATGTTAAACACTTTACAAATATGATAGACAGATGAATAGATAGACAGATAGGTAGATGGATAGATAGATAGATAGATAGATAGATAGATAGATAGATAGATAGATATAGATAGATAGATAGATAGATAGATAGATAGATAGATAGATAGATAGATAGACAGATAGGGAGAGATAGATGAATACATAGATAGGTAGGTAGATAGATAGATAGATAGATAGATAGATAGATAGATAGATAGACAGATAGATGGATAGATAGACAGACAGATAGATAGATGGATAGATGGAAGGAGGAAGGGAGAGGCAGGTGAATAGATAGATAGACAGATGGACATATAGATGAATAGACAGATGAATGGATGGATAGATAGATGAACAGACAAATAGATGAATAGATAGGCAGACAGATAGTGAATAGACAGGTAGGTAGATAGACAGATGAAAAGACAGACATAGACAGACAGATAGACAGACAGACAGACAGACAGGCAGACAGAAAGATAGATAGATAGATAGATAGATAGATAGATAGATAGATAGATAGACAGACAGACAGATAGATGGATAGATAGATAGACAGATAGATGGATAGATGGATGGATGGAGGGAGAGATAGATGAATACATAGATAGGTAGGTAGATAGATAGATAGATAGATAGATAGATAGATAGATAGATAGATAGATAGGGAGAGATAGATGAATACATAGATAGGTAGGTAGATAGATAGATAGATAGATAGATAGATAGACAGATGGATAGATAGACAGACAGATAGATAGATGGATAGATGGAAGGAGGAAGGGAGAGGTAGGTGAATAGATAGACAGATGGACATATAGATGAATGGATGGATAGATAGATGAACAGACAAATAGATGAATAGATAGGCAGACAGATAGTGAATAGACAGGTAGGTAGATAGACAGATGAAAAGACAGACATAGAAAGACAGATAGACAGACAGACAGACA